ACATATTGTGCGTGAATTCTATGATAACCCTCAACCGTCGTCAGGACCTCTTTTCACTTCTCTAATTTTTATGTATATCTGAAGGTAGCTTTCTCTACGAAAGAATGAACTGGGAAGTCTTTTTGCATCTGCGTTCTAGTCTTTCGGGAGACGAAAGGGATAAACGGTGATTTTAAACATCTGAAACATTAAGAAGAGAAAATTGTGTCTAATGGTGTTCTTGCCAAGGAAATTCACAAATTATTTAAAGAGGTCTAAATTCTATGCACTACGATAGGGTCTGTCGGATTATGCCGTGATTTTTTGAGCAAAATACTATGTCTAAAGCATCGGGCATAACGCTGGTATAATGTTGCGGAAAACTGTGAAAAAAGTATGCAAATTTTGCCAGCAACTCCAGCTAGAATGTACAAAGTTTATAAAAGTGGGAATATTTTAGGAATTTTATACCTTAGCCTCGTATCCAGTGCACCTTGGTATAATCGAAGGCCTGGTTACCTCTTTATGCCAGGCTTCTAAGCTTGTTTATAGTTACGGACCTACTGGGGGTGTGGTGGAAGTGCCATTTTAGTCCGGCCGAGCATAATTTTGAGGATAATGCACTGGTTTCACGGGTGACGCCCGAAAGCATAATACTCCATTTTACGAGCATAATCCGACAGACCCTACACAACGGACAGTCTATACGGCATGGTTGGGTGTCAGCTTTACCTGTTTCCAGACAATTTTTCTTTCGAATTCGTTTATTGCATTTTCCAGCGAGTGTTGAAACGTGGTTTAAACTTTAATGCTTTAAGTGAAATATCATCAGTTTGTTTCAAACAATAACAATAAGAAACATTCAGATATCAACCTTAAGTTAACGCTGAACGAAATCTAGATAAGTATCTTTCAACTTCTTGATAATACGCATGCGTAAAATAACTGTATTCTTGTTTATTACCACAATGCCAGGAAACAGAATCGAGTAATATATAAATACTCGACATTATCCCTCTTAGTTCTCGACGAGGTCCGATGAAGCAGGCTTCCCTTTGACTTAAGCCTCCTTCATAACTAGACTTCGTTAACCTTTTTCTCGTTCGTGGAGCAATCTTTATTGTATGCGGCGGCTTTGCCTACGAAATCTAATTCTTAACCATTAATCTGCGTGTTATGCAAGAAAGCTAATTAAGTGGCGGCGGCGCCCTCTTGGCCGCGCGTGCAACAAAACGTTTAAACCGTCTTTCATTGGCCTTTTCTTAGTTACCTCTTAAAGGCATAGCACGCTCCAACATTTTCATAAGATATTTTATTTTTAGCTCCCGGCTTCATGCAATCTACGGTGCAGGCGGAGTTAACTGGTACGTAATTAAAAATCTATCCCATAAACAACAAAACACTCCATTGTCGAATTGGGACCTTCCACTCTTGATTTAGCGTTTTTAATGTTAATTTTCTTTATCAATAACCTATTATTGAAATAAAGTATAACCATTTCTCTTTTGTTTCAATAATGTACCATTATTGATTTAAAAATTTCTCCAATTTCGTATCCAGACTTCACTGCTAGCATTTCGGCGCAGATACGTCATAACAGGAGCCGATTACCGATTAAGTAATCGGCTCCTGGTCATAAGAAACAAAACAACTAATGTCAAAACGAAAATGTTATTTTCTTCATTCAACAACTATCTTTAATCGCAAAACAAGCAAACCAAGTATTTTTCAAAAAAGGTGAATATCGTCCGCATCTGGTAGACAAATACGTCGTCACACTTGACATATTGGGGAAATTTCCCTGCACTTCCGCTTTTGTTCTCGTCCCCAGAGCCCGTCGTTTCTTTGTCACGTGGTCTTGAAACCATCCTCGGAGACCCAGGGGTTCCCAGGGGCAGTTAGTCGGGTCGATAAATCGAGACGAGCCCCTGGGCACTAACTCTTACCGAACCAGTTCCAGAAGAGTTTGAATTGCCTGCTTCTGAGAGAAGCTGTCGGGTGACTCTCGTGTTTCCTTACACGACGTAGTTTTCCACATCTATCGCCATAGTTGCGTAGTGCGTTCAACAGGATAGTTTCTCGAGAAAAGTTTCAGAACAAAATGTTAACAACCCGCAAAAATTACAACCTTTAGCACGGCTGCAAGAAACAAACACTCTCCGATGAATTTTTAGGGCGGATCTTTCCAAGGTATCGTAAATTTTTATTGCTGATACGATACGCGATGCATGACTTTCACTTTCCACACCTTGATCTAGTTAGTATAAAACGCCAGGCGAAGCTTACATTTTTGATGTCCATGTTCGTTGCACGACTTCTGAAACTTTCTACAGCGTGAAAATTTCCTTCGCACAGGCCACGCAACTACGTCGATTGATCATGAGAAATGCCGGCTAGCCGCAGTGCCTTCTTCTTGCTTTCGCTCTAAACTCCTATCGAAACTTTTAAGCTTGAAAGCTTACGAATTCTGCCGAAGTTGATGGTAGTGTTAACTTTAGATTCGAGGGAGGCCTCCAGCAAGCGCTTGAAAGAAGGCTTGTCTTTGTCACCTTTTGTACAGTTCAAAGCGAAGGAAAGATTTATTATTGAGAAGATTGTGGAAAGAAGAGATGTTTTTGGGCAATTGATAGAAGAGTCTAACCTTCCAAATGTTGCCTATAAGTTAGGGGTTTAAAAATCGTTAGATGCTCGAGTATGTTATTTGAAAACTGTCTAGAAAAATGGGGTGTGCATTATATTTGAGTGCATATTATACACAAGTAAATATCGTATACCTACACATAACATACAAAAACTGTTTTCCCACACTCTCTGGAAAAAAGGGAACTGTGCTGAAATCGTCACTTACTGTTTTCGATAATTCTAAAAGTCTTCCTTCTTTTAGATTTTTTTAAGTGTACAACTTGCAGAAGAGAAAAACATCCTTCCTTTTTGATGGCAGTAATGAAAACAGCAGAATCATTCCAAGCCACTTAAGTTGCAACATCAGTGCCAAAGACTGTTAGTCTGCTTAAAGAAAACGAAGATGATCTGAGACAGGAATTTCAAGAATCAAATCTTCACTGCTTGTATCCTAGAATTTGTATTCTCTGATTGTCTTCTACAGGAAACAATACTTTGATACTTGTAATAAATTATGTTCTGTGGAAAGTATTTTAGAGACACTGTGTGGAATGGTGACCATGCAATGAAAATTTTAACCTTTCTGAAGAGGGTGTTTGAAGATTTAAAAATATTTATCAATGAAGAATATTATTGTCAGATGAGGAGAATTATGATAGGGAAGTTATGAAATATCAAACAAATGCACCAAAGGAAAATTGTTAGTATTGCAGCATTATTCTTTCAAAATAAGTCCAATCTTCTACCATCAATTGTAAGGGAGTTAAAGCAATGGCACTGTGGATGTGTTTGAGGGGGTCAGAAAGGGGAAACATCAAGCCAATCATAGATAAATAGTTTGGCAAAAAATCACATATTATGTGAAATTACTTTTATACATGTATTTGTTAAAAGATATCTTATAATAAAAATTCATTTCTACTATATTAGCTATAATTCTAATCACAGTGAAAAAACCTCCGTTTTCGTCCGTCGACACAAAAGAGACAAGTCAGCGTCTTCATAGAAACTCCAATCTGTGGAACTGCAGTTTTGGTGCCCCAAAACGCTGTTTACCTGTGTAGGCTAAACTAAATACAGACAAAAAACCTTCGTTATCACCAGATACGTGTGGAAGGGTTCGAATGGGGAGTTTAAGATGTACAACGACAACAGCAACGGAAACTCTACACGTGCAGTATACTTTTTAGTACATTTCTTTGACGTCACTGCACGACCACTGAGTGAAATTGCCTAAATTCACATTTTACGGAGAACATAAATTACGACGAATTTTTCTTCCTCTTTCTGAACATAGCTGATTTAGTTCTCACAAATTCAACTCTAGGAGAGTTCTCTTTTGTTCTCTCATTCATCCTGTACTAAATTGCAAAAGTGAGCGAGCGGGTATAACCGCGCTGATGTTTCAAAAGACAAAAAACCACTCACATTGCCCTTTAAAAGAATTCCCTTTTTGTGAATCTTTTTTAGTTTCTTGATACAAAAAATCCTGACTGAATTTACTAAAAAAAAAAGCTTATCTCCATTACTGGAACTTAATTTCTAAATTATATAAATTGTAATATTTATTTATTTTATCTATTTCTATCAGTTTTTCAACTCTGCATCACCACCGAGTGTATGCAGGGTTGTTTAAAACAAATTCTTCAACCTGGCTGGAGAGGTGGAAACTGATCATGTTATAACCCCGAGGTAAAAACACCACCAAAAAAAATAGACTGCAAGACACTCAATTCACTACCACTACTTATTGGAAAGCAAATTTAAATAATCAAAGTCGTTCTTCAATTCCATAAGATTGCGTGGCAATCAAATGTAGAGGTTATAACTAAAAACGTGCGTTGAAATTCAACTAACCAAATTAGTTTGTTAAAGGTGTGTACAAATTAGAATTTTCTTTTCCTTATTTAAATTAGTTGTGTTCTTCCCTTAAGAGGACAACACGAAAAGAGTGTCAACCACCATTGTCACATAATCAAGAAAAAGATTCACTCTATAGTTCCTATTTTCTGAACAAACTGATTCAAGTTGTTATTATAGCATACAGTAATTTTTTATAACATATTGCATTTTTAGACAACAGCTTTTTATTGTAAATTTAGCAAGTTCCAGGCGTTCAGATAGTAGAGCACAGCGTTAAGATGGGGTAGTGAGCAAGTTAAATCATACGTGGGGAAAATGAGGGGAAAAATGGGCTGAGACCTCTCGTCAACTTTTCGCCTTCGCTCTACTATCTGAATGCCTGGAACAGGCTATTGTAAATAAAATTATGCAATTTGACAACTAAGATATTGGCTTATTTTCAATAATAAATTAATTTTTCTAATGACCTATAATTAACTTCTGGTCTCATCGGGCCCCTCTCCGGTAATTTAAATATATCAGCCAATTCTAAATTATCATGAGTAATTATCCTCTATGCTATCTATTGAACAGTTCATTTGTGACTGCTGGATTTCCTTCTGCACTGTAAGAGACTTTCTTGTCTGTGACAGTTCCACATATTTGTATTTCCTGGCTATGAACACAAACACCAAGAAATTCAAGAACATGACAGCAGCCAGAAAGAAGAAATAATTTTCTAGTTTGCCATCATTGAGATCCTGAGGATACCAGGTATCTCCTGAAGCTTTCTTTGCTATAGCAGCCAGGGCTCCTGCCACATAAAAACCAATGCCAATGGTTGCCAGGTTCAGGCCCATGACCACACCCCGCAGATAAAGGGGGGATTGGGAGTAAGCAAAGGCCAATCCTGGTAATAGAAAAAAAAAAGGGTAAGCCAAGTCTGACAAAAATCGAGTCCACATAACATGTAAGCCCAGTCACTGAGAATAACATTTCAGAGAGGGTCAGTAGAGAGGACAGATCAATACCATACCTGCCATACATGTGCTATTGAAAGATTACCATTTCAAAGGAGATTTACACTGAAGTACTAATTTCAAAAAACCAAAATCCAATACTTTAAGGCTTCTGTTTTATTATTTTGTGGGCAACTAAACCATAAGCTTCAACAAAAATTTGTTCTATGTCTTGTAAAATTAACCGTATAACTCTTAAGCCAAAAAGTTCTTGCAAAATCATAAAATTATAGTTTTGAACAAAATAAGTAGCATCCAAAATCACCGACAAATAATAGAAATCTTCACAAACATGCATCTATGGCCTGTTTGGACATTAAAAATAGATGCCCGCTTGGACAGAATGATGTACTTTTGTGAAAAGAAAATCAATGAATTTGAAGCCTAATTTTTTTAGTCCTTAATAATCACTAACCTGGAATTGCAGTCAAAACCTCTCCTGTTCCCATAAGTATATACTGTGGAACTTGATAAAAGATATTCATTTGTGAAGCATTAACTGGAGTGTCAAATGGATCCTGCTTAAAATATCCATGAGTCTCAATGTACTTTTTTCTTTCAATTTCCATGATTCCTGCCATAAACACAGACCCCATAGCAAACAGCATCCCAATCCCCATTTTCCTCAAGGGTGTAAAGTCAACACCAAAATGGCGCAGTGCCGGATAAATGATGCGGTCAACAACTGGTATAAGGATAAGTAGCATTGTGATTTCAAACAGGTATAATGATGCTGCTGGCATGGTGAAATGTTTTGATAGCTTCAGCTTCATGAATGAGCCTTGGAGAAGGTAGCTGGTTTGTCCCTGAATAACAAAATACAAAAACATTCATAACTCAGTGAGAGTACCTTGGTTATATCGACAGATTTGATAAAGGCTCTACTTAGTCAATGACAATTAAGGGTTGAACTGAAGGCTCAGAGTTTTCCATCTTATACATTCTAAGCTCTAACTGGGTGGTAAATATTTTTCTCTCTCTCAAGTCTGTGTATTACAATTACCAATGGACTGACAGAATCTCTAATTTGTATTTTATTTACATGTAACTCTTGCAATCTATAGCCTACTAAATTAAAATAAAATACTAATAAAGTGCTCCATATCAGATTAAACCAATAGCCTGCAGTGAGTGGTATGAAATAAATGTAATTTTACTACAAATTTAATAAACTTAATATCCATAAAAGATTCAATAGTAAAGTTATAAAGTACTTTTATATGTAATTAACAGTGACCAACTTACCTGTCCATAGATTGTCCAATATAAAATAAATGTAAGGAATATTGGCACAATTCTCAGAAGGGACTTAATGTCTTCCACTCGCTGCTCTGACCACAATCCTCCAGTACTTTCTTTAGCTTTATCAAGCCAATGAACATTTGATGACCCACCATTTCTACACTGAATCCTCTTTAAACCTTGCCAAATTATTTTGCATGTATCAGTCATGTAGCTGCCCTTATGAGGGTGGATAATATAGTATTTCCGTCCACTAATAAATAACATGATGGCTAAGAATATTGATGAGGCAGTAATCACATAACCATAAAAGAAAGACACCTGCTGTTGAATTGATACAACTGCAGTGTATGCCAGGAATGAGCCCAACTGGATAAACCAGTAAAACCAGTCAAAAAAACGCTGAACAATAACTGTGCCTTCGCCTTCTAGTTGATCTGCTCCTAGAGGTGAGACATTGGCTTTGATTCCCCCGGTTCCAATTGAAATGAGAAGCAGTGAAATTAACAGGAATGCTTCTTTACTACCAGTGTTTAAACCATAATCAGTACCATAGTCAAATGTTACAGCTGCCAGAACTATAGTGCCTACAAGATATAACAGGGAGCTTCCATATATGGTGTTGTAGCGCCCCAAGAAGGTATCAGCTACCCATCCACCAATCACAGGTGAGAAAAATGATGTCCCTTGAATGTGAGAAAAATTTGTAAACTTGTTAATAAAAAATAAAGTAGTACCGAGTGCCACAAATTAATTTACCAAAATTATATTATATAACACTTATTATTACAATGAATTGAGTAAAACAAGGGATTTTATCAACTAACTAATGATGTAATTAATAAACAAATTAATGATAATAAATTAATTATTATTCCTACTGATGAAAGATTTTCTCAGGCTAGTTAAACAATAATGACTCTTGGGTTAGTAAATGCTACATGTAGCTACAGCTTGTCCAAAGGGCAGGCTGTAAACCTCACTTTCTTTGCACCCTGCGAGGAAAGGTCCTAAGCCATTCTAGAGGTTTTTCTCTGCAGAGTATTCCAGTTTTCTCTTGATCTGGTGAAGTGTCTCCAATATTTTAATAGCAGGGGACTCTTAGAGGGTAACAAGTTTATCCAATTAGATTTGGAACATTCAGGTACCATGGGATGAACTACCACACTGTGCCTAGCCTGGGTCCATGCATTGTGTAGTACTGAACCATGTGGCAGGTGTCACAGTATACGTATGGTAAATAGGGAGCTCTAGCATCAACGACCGCAACTGCAGCGAAAACGTGAGTCTTAAAATGAATTCACGTTTTTTCAATCTTTGTCACGTTTATTCCAATTTGCTGAAAATGGCAAGTGTAGGCGAATTTCCCTGGAGCTCCCTAATGTACATGCACTGTGTGGTAGGTGAAGGGCCTAGCCTGGGTCCATGCATTGTATGATAGGAGCATTATATTGTGGGGTGGTTTACAGTGTGGTCATTCACTGAGTGGTATATGTAGGTGCGTGCACCGTATGGTGGTTACTACATGGTACTTAGCGTTCCAACCCCTTCTCAGTTTATCAGTTCTTGGATTGGGAAATGTGTCTGAGATGAAAGTTGTGGAGGTTTCCTCTTTGGCATAGAAAAGAAAACCAGTTACCTTGGAACGCAAGGCTGATGCTGCTTGGTAATGGAGCCTCAAGTTTTAAGTAGTCCCGACAATATAATACAAGGTTAGCCACGATACCATAAAATGTCAGTCGTTCACACAGTTCTGTGAACAAGATACAAAGTACTAATAAAATTCTGGCTCGTCGGCTTAAGGTGGCTACATGTGGAATTGTTGACATAAGGACTTTGTTGGTTCCATTTGACACATCTCCAAGAATGGGTGTCAGTTCTGGGTCTTTTGTATCCCGCATCACTTTCCCAATGGTCTGTTGAGAGGAAAGCAAAGTATTATTGCAGTTTTTTCTTGGGCGCACAGTGTATCCAGGGAAGGGTTTGAGGAGATTGCAACTCCCCTTTTTTGTGTGTCTCAGTCAACTGAGTCCTGAACTTGCTACTGCATGAGATCAAGATGCAATGTGTTTGAAAAGAGCTCATTTGCCAACCAACAAGTTCATGAGTGTGCCTCTACAGTATCAGCTAAGCTTTCTCTCTTAGCACGATTACTATCTTGTTACCAAGAGAATACACAAGTACAATATGTTAATAAAAGATCTGTCAGGGATATCTCGTCAAAAGACTGTCAGAAATGTAGGGGTTGGAACCTCCCCTTTCTTTTCAAAAAGTTTGGGTATACCCCTCTTTCCTTACTTCAACAACAGATCCAGGAAGAGACCCTTGATACCCACATGCACCACCTCATTAATGCAAACATCAGACCAGTGATGCTGTCCTTCTTCCCTTCAACCAAAGGATTACATGGCAAAGTACACCTGGTCTTGGGAGAATGTAACTATGGGTTTTTCATAGCCTGTGTGCAGACATCTCCAATTTCCTTTGCTGGGTCGAGGCCCTGTTAGGGTAAAATTCCGACAAGCAACATGGCCTTAAAACAGCGACATATTGGACTGGACAAAAAGGCAACAAATGACATAAAAATGGGTTTAAGACTGACAGGGACATGGCATACTCCTCAAAACACAACGAGGAACGTATTTGAAATTCAGACTGGGGACAAACGTACCAATGCTGACAGGGCCTCTTTGCTGCATACAATCAAGAGAGGAAATGGAAGACGTCTGCATGCAGGCTAGGGTTTTCAGGGCCGTCAGGAAGGCACGAAGGGAAATAACGAGTAAGTATGAAGTCATGAAATATTTACTTGTCGAGGAAATGAAACTCATTTTCACATGAAACGATTTTTACTTGCCTAACTATGAAACTGAGGATTTTAGATACTAGGAAATATTAACCCCGACTGATTTTTGCACTCGGGCTTGCAAACGCGACTGTGTTTCGATTAAAGCTGAAAATAATTTCCTTCCAATTCTACAGCTACGTTAACAGCATTCATGTTCAAATACGTGCCGCACCCTGTGGTTTTGCCCATCGAAACACATGACGAGTAACTACTTGAGAATCAATGAAGGTCGCATCAAATGCCATGTGTATAGCTGATGTGTAAGACCTTGTGATCATCAGCAGTATCTACATGTATCTGCTATATTTAACGATCGGGTGATACAATTCCACACGATTAATCGTTCATTACCTTCCAGGTGTAGGTGTAGAAGCTACCCAAGAAAAAGACGTTGTGGAATTGTCAATGTGTGAAGCCTGATGTAAGTTTACTAATGTGTTAAGCTTACTTAATTATAAGCTTACGAAAACCGGTTGTCCAGCACAAAAAAACCAAGGGAGCTATACTAGCTTCTGTTTAAACTGTTTGGCCCGAGACAGCTCTTTAAATATTAAGAATTAAATAATAATGACAAATTTCCCAAGGCAATTCCGTACTAACCTTCATCCTATAAAATTAGCCTGTGTGGAACGCGTACGAATCTCTCCTTCGTATTGTACATGTAATGTATAACGTGACATCTATGACTGTCATGTGACATAGCGTTACCAGCACCTATATTTAATCACAGGCAGCCCAATAAGGTTTCCGTTCCGCAGGCGGAGCTAAAGGAGAATCGGCTACGAAATTTGCTCCAAGTATCTAGGGATACTTTGGGGATGCTAAGAACCTTATCAAAATGTTTTTTCAGTCTTCAGAGAGTCTTCAGAGAAATTTGGTAATTTGACATTTCAAGAACTCCTTGTGTTCGGCCAGGAGCCGATTACTAGTAATCGGCTCCTGGTTCGGCACATTTATTTCTCCAAAATACAACAAATCACTTTCGCAATGCGACAGGTGTGTACTGCGAAATGAAAGGAAAAGGCTCTGTTCTCTCTGTTGGTTGGTTGCCTTCGTCGCAAACGCTCTAAACCTTTGTTTTAGACAGGAGCCGATAAGTAATCTGGTCTAGACGAGTGCGTGGGCCGGCAACGCAAGTTGGTAACCGAGAGAACCAACCTCCTCCCCAGGGCGCCTTTCCGTGACTTTGGCACCTTCAAAGCCAGGGAAAAGCGCCCTGGGGACGAGGTTGAGAGAACGCGCTATTACAGCTGATGCGCTCCCCTTTTTTTTTTTTTTTTTTTTTCACAGACCCTCTATTTTCTCTTTAGAGATCGTCGAGCGTGCGTATGAAAACAAAAACGCAGGTGATTTACACTGCAACAAGAAAAACGTCTTTGAGCAGGCTACTCCTCTCTCCGTCTCCTTGCCCCACCCCCCAAAGGGCGGCACATTGCAGACTACTCATTATCAGGCCTGACTCATTCTCATTCATTGCCCATTCTCTCTTGTTGGTAAAAATAATCCTATTCTAAAGGTGCAGTAAGACTCAAACCTGGAGACACGATGCTCCCCAACACAACTGTCATTCTTTATAGCCTAAGCATCACTACTCTGATCGATCTTCCTAGATAAGGTTAATTTAGCGTGCAAAGAAAGAAGTGTCCGATAGCCTGGGACTAGTGGAGTTTGCTATCGAGCTAGCGAATTCTGTTCTGAACTTGCCCGCCAGGCAAGTGAAGTTTTTTGGGAAATTCACATTATAAAAAAAAAAATCAATCCTGCTCATCAAAAAACTTTTTTCGGGCTAATTAAAATGACCCTTGGGCTAGAACACGCTTATACCTGCCAACTATTTTTAATCTATGGGCGTGACATTTTCATCCTGAGAGTGCTAGCATTTTTCGTAGGGGTCCGATAATATCCGAAGATGCCCGAAGACGTTCGGAAGACTTTTCAAAGGGTCCCGTCTAACACGAACACGAAAGAACTCGACCTCGTCTCCATCGACTTTCCCTACTAAAGTAAAAGAATTTGGAGAAAGTCGATCATTCATAAGCATTTTTATTTTCTCTCATTGGTTTCAGTTCCTTTGAATAATTAATGTATTTTTCAAAATGTGTCAGCAAAAGCCATAATAGCTCTTGGTGTCAGTCAATGCTGTAATGGCTCAAACTTTTCTACCAGGCGTGAGAAATTGGAACACAGTGAGTAGGTGTGAGATCGAAGTTTTCGATTCGCAGGTGTGACAATCACGCTAAAGGCATGGAAGTTGCAGGTATAAATGCTAGTTGCACCTTACCCGAATGGCAAGCTGCAAAACTGACTTTCTTTGCACCCTGAGGTTCCTTCCTCTCCCCGACTTATCTAGGAAGATCGAACGGCCTATGCTATCAGGCGTTTCGGGAGGGGAAGAAGAAAAGAGAGCGAAAAGTGAAGACAGCCTGATACTCAGACTATAGTGTTTAGGGAGTATCCCGGAGTAAGAGACACCAAGATCATGAGTTGATTCTTTAGCTAATTAAGAAACGCGTTCTGAGAGCTTAGCGAGTATCACACTCAAATTTATTTCGTTCATCCCAAAACGTTTTAAGGAAAATGTTAATCTTTGTAGTCTATTTAGATAGCTTGAGAAAACAGCCGTAATTTCGCGACGTCACCACTGACAGTCACTACATCTGGAGGGTCGTTACTTGCTGACCTTTCTGGATTTGGCCAGAGAAAGAGGCGGAAATCGAGTCAAGTTTTACTGTGAAATGTTATCGCTGCTTTCAAAGGTTCGCTAACTTCAGGGGTCGTTACTCCACCCTGCACAGCACTGGCGATAGTTTGAGTTCAAAAAAATATATACTACGTTATATTTTGTATATGTTTTTCTTTTGTAGCGAAGCTGTCAATTCAATTCACACTGTAACATGGCAGCTGGGGGAAACGAGGATGAGCGAACTGCGCTTATTTCAGGGAATGCAGTTGACAATGGCTTAGTTTATAGTGGAACCTACCCTGGTTCTTCTACAAAGAATGATGACGTCACAGACGGACATGTTGATAAGCTGGTGGTTACCCTGTGCATTCTCATCACCGAGTTTTGTGAGCGCCTGACGTTCTACGGACTGGTAGCAAATATGGTGTTATTTTGCAAAGATGAACTAGATCTTCCCGCACCGTGGCCCTCGACAATTAATTTGATATTTTCAGGTTAGTATATTTCTGCCAGTTAAATTTGCGCCTTATAATAATGGTAATAACGTTCTACTCAAAGTTAGCCTGAGTAGCAAGCGTTTCCGCGCGAGTTCGTCGAGAACGTTGGGACGAGAGCAAAAAGAAAAAAGGAATGACGGGGGAGGGGGAGGGGAGAGAAGTTACAATAAATGATTCTAATACCTTATTATCACTTATTTTCGCGCGACTTTAATTTCGCGAATTTGGAATAGAAATATTTCGCGGGACTTAAATCTTGTGACTTTCACTGGAATCGCCGTTTTTTTAAGGTAATTAAGTTTCGCGGATCAAGTACGCTGCTGCTCGTTTTTTAAACTTGCATTTCTGCATTTTATTTAACCATAACGGAATAGAAATGCAACAAGCAACTGGCTAGCCTGCGTAGCAGGCGCTTGGAAGTAGTGGGCGCAAGAAAGAACGAACGCACGAGAGGGAGACACGCGAGGCATGCGTGTCTCTCTCTCGTGCGCCCCGGTTACGCAGGCTAGCAACTGGCTGAAATGTTCAACAATGTCAGCAACATAGCATCTTTTAGAAGTAAACTGCTATAAACGACCGAAGCAGTATTTAACCCGATAGCGCTGCCAATTAGCTTTTAGATAAGGAGCGCCTCAATGTTTTCAAACATTCTGGCTGCTGCATAGACGGCGGGATTTTTTTAGCACGAGCAAAGTTTTGGCAGAGGAACTGTGAAGCCGTGCGGACCGCTTTTAAAATTGGCTTAAAGGGTAGTCATTTTTTCTGGTAACAATTATGGAATAGGGATACTGAACATATATTTGAAACCAGTGACTTGAAAAGGGGGATCTACTGGAATTAAAAGTGGATTTGTTGAATGATTCTGGTTGGGAATAGAGCCAGCACAGCGCATCTCAGAGTTTTTGGGAGAGTTCTGCTTGAGTTGCTGGTGTTTTACCCTCTGAGAGACGTGCGCCCTCTAGAGTTGCTGAGTATTTAAAAGTTGTACCAAACTAACTCATAAGCTAGCTAGACGATGTGTAAAAGTTGACAGTGCTTTTAATGTTACACGAAAATGTCAAGCCTAGAAATTTTTTTCCATACCTTATTCCATTTAAGATCTTTTAATTTGAAATTAAATTTGTTTATGTTGCAGTAAATTGGAGTTAAAAATAGACTTGCAACAACAGACTGACTTACTTGTAAAATTTATCTTCAAAACCATTTCGGTCATTTGGGGTCATTTGGATAGAAAGGAACTCTGTTTTCACTGCTCCTTACAATTTACCATTTTGTATTTTCTATTTTTAGGTGCCTGTTATTTCATTCCTTTAATGGGTGGATGGCTTGCCGATGCTCGTTTGGGAAGATACAATGTTATTTATGGAAGCATGTTAATTTACGCTATTGGAACTCTCTTGATCCTCCCAGTTTCCTATAATGGCATCGATCATAACAAGACAATGAGATTGGTGTACTTTTTATTGTCCCTTGTATTGGTTGCACTGGGTACTGGGGGAATCAAAGCTAACGTAGCGCCCTTAGGAGCTGATCAGCTTGCAAGACATGGGCCGAGAGCCGTCGAAATCTTCTTCATTTGGTTCTACTGGTTCATAAACCTTGGAGCACTAATCTCTTTTACAGTTGTTGTGTACATACAACAAAAGTATGACTTTTTTTACGGGTACTTGATCCCGGCAGGTACATTGCTTTTAACCATCACTGCCTTCGTGAGTGGCCGTAACAAGTACGTAATCAAACCTCCAGGAGGAAGCCAGCTAATAGAGACCGTGAAAATAATCTATCAGGCTGTTGAAAATCGCCAAGGTCAAAGCGGAGAGATGTGGCTGGATCGGGCGAAGAGTAGATTTGGAGGGGCGTACACTGATGCGCAAGTTGAAGACGTCAAGACTTTGTTAAGAATTATCCCAATGAATCTTCTATTTGTCATGTTCTTCGTAATTTTTCCTGCTCAGGTAAGTTTTTTTTTTCACTCAGGTTCACGTACTGCCCGCTCATTTATACATGTAACTAATCACTATGGCGTCTACTCTCCACGGTTCCACAGCTAAGAAATCAGGGAACTAAAAAGTTCTCAGCCCTCATTCACCTGGGCTCGATCCTTTCCGCGGTCTAATTCCTTCTAGAAGAGAGCGCTCATTTGCCAAACAGTGGCTGGTAATCGAGCCTATTATCCTCCCTAGCCTTGTGGGGGGGGGGGGGGGGGGGGGGGGGGTACAATACAAAACAATACAGTCACAGCTATCAGACAGCCTCTTCCGATCCTCTTCTGTCTTTTCTCTCTCTGTGTGTTTTTTAATGTTGTGATGGCATGGGGTTAATGTTTGATTGTTGGTTTGTGTTTGGGGTTTTGGGGTGTGGGGGGGGGTGGGGGGGGGGGGGGGGGGGTGTGGGGAGGGAATCTGGCAGAGCTTTTTCGCAGTCTACGTGGATCCTGGCCCTGACTATGTATTAAAGGTCTAAGACTGACTTGACTCCTGTCGTGGACTTATGATTGTTCCATTATCTCATCTACTCACTACCGAGCTTAGCCCTTTAAGCCTCAATATCAACAAACAATTTCTTATACATTTCCTCTAATTACTCGACTGTCGCAGCCTTTTCTATCTGGCTATTAATATGTCGAAAGAAAAATGATTTTGGTCACTATTGAATGACTTAAAGCATTTTTTTGTCTTTCAAGATGCCTTTGACAGTTTGTCGACTTGTGTCAGTAACACAAGAAAGCTCTTTGAAGTACTAAGGGGATTCTTGATAATTTCACAGGCGGTTCACACCCTGCGAGCAGAACCTTCATTTGCACCAACCCCTCCCCTAAGCCAACATTTTGCCCTAAGTGAGAAGTAAGTGATAATGTTGGCTTAGGGGAGGGGTAGGTGGGCAGTTTCCCAGAAACCTTAATCGATTCATAAGAAGAAAAGGAGGCTTTGTCTGAATCACGTCAAACCTTTGAAGTCGCCGCAGCACAAACTTCTGGACTCTTCAACCTTGTTCTCTCTCGTCGAACTGTTTTTTTCGAGTGCGAGTATTTGTCCATTAGTTGAAATGACTGATGGTCATAACCTAGCCCGCTATTGCAAGCGCAAGGCTATTAGGCCTGGCTTCGAAACTAGATCCTCGCAACATGCCGCGCCTGCTCAACAGAGATGTTACTCGATTCATGCGAAGTTCGAGTGTGCCATAATCGAGCAAGGAGGGCAAGAAAAGCTCAGTGCTGGCAGCAGGATGAGGCGTTTCTCTGCATCTCAAAACTTTCCGCTTCTAATGAAAAAAGCTCATTCCATACGAAACTGTAGTTTGAAACAGAGAGTAATAAAAACAAATTAAACGGAAGAAATTAAAAAGGAAAGGCGGAACTATTAACGCACGAAAATCACTAGTTACAAATGTATAGTCATGAAGCCAACGGTCAATCGAAATAGGCCATTTCACAGTTGCAGATGCAAACAAAGCTGGAGTTGACCTTCTTTTCATACGACCCTTCTTGCCTTATTATAGTTTTCACTATAATTTCAAAGGAATTAAAAGAAAAGAGGCCTTAGTAAGTTGTATCAAAACCAGGCCAACCTCAATCTCACTTTCACTCAAAGGTTAGAGAACTAAGCCTATACAACTGTTACTATTTTGCTGTAGCCTATGACGGCTAGTGCAGCGTTTACACAGCGCACCCTTTTTGGGTAACTGTAAATTAGAACACCTATTGATAACTTGCTTTTACAGTTGCAGACAACATGGCTTATCCAGGCTACCTACATGAAACTGGAGTTTCAGAGTTTCACTGTTCCACCAGCATCCATCTTTTCCTTCGACATTATTTGGGTTCTTGTAGTAACTCCCATCGTCGGTCAAGTCATATATCCTCTTCTAAAGTCCTGTGGTATAAGCTTTACTTCGTTACGCAGGATTGGTGTTGGAATGCTTTTTGCTGCAGCATCTATGATTGTAGCCGGTCTAGTGGAGATCATAAGAAGGCGAGAGGTCGAAGAAGGACATTTCTTTGATCAAGTTGTTTTTGGCAAACATCGCCAAGCTTCAAATCTGAATGTTTTTTGGCAAATACCACAGTTTTTGGTTATGGGCTGTGCTGAAGTACTGGCAGTTACAACAGGTAGGCACACGCTCTTATTAATCATTATTATTATTATTATTGTTATTATTATTATTATTATTATTATTATTATTATTATTATTATTATTATTATCATTATTATTATTTATTTATTTATTTATTTATTTATTTATTCGGGTTTTTTAAATTGTGGACTGCTCAAGGTCCTCATTTTTGTCGCGACCAGCGGAAAGAAAAGAAAGTGCAAAACCAAAAAATAAAGATTTATTCCTTTGTTTGAAAGCTTTTATTCTTCGACCGTTGCGATGACTAGCCGCCCTTCGCGCCCTCGGCGGAAAGTCCCGGCATCACATCACTCGATCCTGGTCGTCATTTCTCACAGTATTGTTAGTGGTTTGTAAACTTGTTACAAGGCATTGTTTTGGTGGTCAATACAATAATTTTTTTCGAATAAAACATAAAAAAGGGATTTAGTTACCAGAGGAAAAAAATGCTAAATGGCCGCCGTGATGCCACGTGCAAACCAGGAATTCTCCCTTAATACAGCTAGTTTATCCCCTAAAATCTCTACCATCTTGTAAACTTTGGGCTCAAACGGATAACTGAAAACTCTAAAAGTAGTTCCTTGGCTTCAATAAAAAATCTGGAAAATCTAATCTAAATCTAATCTTACTTTCAAATGCAGGACTGGAGTTCTCGTATTCTCAATCTCCAGAGCACATGAAGGGAGTTGTTTTGGGTATCTTTTGCATCTCGACCGGTATTGGATACTGGCTGTCCAGCTTGCTTGAAGTCATAGTTCGCTCAGCTACCAACAACAAGTGGTATCCAAGCGAAAATCCCAACGAAGGAACGATGGAATGTTACTTCTTTCTGTTAGCTGGTCTAATGATTGTCAATTTTGTCATCTTTCTGTATGTGGCTTCAAGATATAAATATAGGACTGTACCGAAGGAGAGTGAAAAAACAGCAAATGACAGGGAGGAAGACCAGCTTGATGAACCTGAAGTGTGATGCTCTAAAATTTGTTTGAAAACCTAAACCAGTCCATCATGAAAACGTCCTAACAAAGGACTAGCATGCATGGGAGATGCTCGCCCGCTACGCGTTAACACTGAGGGTCGTTTGTTTCAGGATGTGCCGGATGGTGCAAACTGATTCAAAACACGTGAGAGATGGAGCCTTCCTTGCCTGCCAGCAGCCCTTTCTACCCAGATCACGCGCATCTTATTTTCGCCTGGCTTACTATCTGAGAGTCCTGGCACAGGCTACACTGAGAGAAAATCCGCGTGCTGAATGGATAAGCTTTGAAGAATATTAGGAAGCGATTTTCCGTGAGGTCTATACGCTATAGATACAGTGTGGCGCGAAATTTTTGCGGTCGAGTTTATTTTTGCCATAGCGATTTTTTGTGTTTTGCGGGAACTAATTTTTGCGATTAAGATAGAATGGTTTTTCTTGCTGCGAATTAATTTTTGCATTGACAATATTTTCGTTTTCACTGAGTACGTGAACAGAAATACACACTTTCAAACAATACTATGGTGTGCGTTTCGTTTCTGAACTAAAGAGACAAGTTGTAAATGAACAGACAAACAGAACAGAAAAATTGCTTGTCTCGTTTTGGTGTAAAACTTTGGAATGAACCTTGTATTAATTGTCATATTAGAGATCTTCCTAAAAAGAAATTTACGAAAGTGCTTCACAGATTGCTTTCCGACATCTTAAAAAGAGAAGATGACTATATTGAGACGTCATTAATCGTTGAAAAAGTTCGATTAACAGTTAAGTGATTTCTGTACAAAGTTTTCGCACTCCGTCAATTCCTTTTTCGTCTTTCCTTAGTAGATTTAATCTAATTAAAATAAAACTATGGTAGAAATATTATTCATTGTAACTTAAAATATTTTCCTTCCTTTCTTTTCCTTTCACTTTATTTTTCTTTTATCTGATCCGCCTAGATTAGCAATTGCTACTTTGCCGGCCAGTCTTTTGTAGTCAATATTTTTATTAAATAAAGTTGAAATTGAAGTTGAAGTTGATTCTTAGTGCTGTATTTTTGTGTAGCGAATTTAATTAGCGAATATTTTCTCTTGAATAAATTTTTGCTGAAAAAATGTTTGCGGTAATTTTATTTTGGGAATCATTTGAAAAATCACAAAAATTAGAACCCGCAAAAATTTTGTGCCACACGGTAGGTCTATTTTCACGCTTTACGTACATTGAACATGAAATAATCTTAGAAAAGCCACTGCAAGAGTTATTCATCCATGAACAAAAAACATAAATTACTATTTGGGTAAACTGTGCTGCTTTGTGGGAGGGTCTCAATGGGGTTAATCGATAGGCGTAAAACGGCCAAAAATTTAGTCGATAGCCGTAGATATTTTAAGGAAGGTGCTAAACTCACTCATGGTTGCGTTTTTTATTTCCCGGCTACTTTGACTCCGTACGCACGTTAGGCCAAGCACCTTTTAGGTGTTGACCAGGACCTATACTCCATTTCCGCCGCTCTCTCGAAGAAACAAGTTTTTTTCACAGCGAAAATCTGGCTTCTTACTGGGGATTAATATTTGTGATTTTCAGAAGGCGTGCCCTCGAAATACTAGTGAAACAACACGCAGAGATGTCACTGTTTGTAAAACAAATTGCCGATAAACAAACAATTCCCTGTAACAATTCCCTGTTTTTCTCTGACGCTAAGGTAGACATTGCCATGCCTAGTCCCTGTCCAGCTGTACGGCGTCTTCCCACGCAATCTCGGTCAAGGCATTTCGGTGGCGTATCTGAGAAAAAAACTCGCTCGGACCACGTGACCCGAAAAGCATTAGCCGCGCGGAATAATGAGGCTTATGGACAAGGCAACGGCAGACAGTCGTTCTGTACCCATTTTTCTATATTGTTATTTTAAGAAGCCATTACCCCTTTTTCTTTCTATTTCTTTAATGTAGGGTTTTTTTTTGCTTGTATGGGGTACAATACAGATGAAAACTAGGGCCTGGTTTTCACAGAGTTTTCAAGTTTTCCCACAGAGTTTTCGAGACTTCCCCACAGAGTTTTCAAGCCGCTGTAAAAGCGGTTTTAAGAACACAAATCGCCTTTATCTTTCCTATCTTGTTATTAGTGTTACAATCAAGTGGTGGTTTTGTTATTGTTGCTCCGTTCCTTCTCCTAGCTCTCTCAACCGTCGATTTCTTTTTACGCTCCTGATCCTCGTAGTGCGGCGTCATTCAGGGATTTTCTAACCCCAAAACACTCGTATTTCGCCTTTATATTCTAAACAGCAAAACAGTTGGGTTTTGTTTCTTTTTTTTAATCCTAAAAATCGGTTTTGAAGGAGCGTTGGAGCCTCTCTCAAACGCCCCCACGTGGAGCTTCTCATCCTACAATACTGGTCAAAAATCTTGAAAACTTGTGTGATTTTCCCCTTCCCCAATGTTGATTTGGGTATTACAGTCGTCTCAGTGATCCAAAATACGCGTAACTCAACATTGGGGAATTGACGGAGAGGGGCACATTTGAGTGACAACAAAGTTGTGAAGAGTGAGTGAAAAAAAGTTTCGAGAGAATTCAACAGAAACTATTTCTGTTTCAACGATTTGTGACGGGTATAATTGATTGTAGCCTGCAGAACAGGTATTATTTTTCGCGTTTTTAGAGAATTTTAGCTATTTGAAATAGTTGATATACTATTTATTGTATAAGACTCCAAATAAAAAACGTGTATGTACGTATGTATTTATGTATGTATGTATAGGGAGAGGGGTTGAGAAGGCTCCATTTCCCTTTTCCCCTTAGTATTGACCCCTCCCCCTCCCCTTCCCTTCCCCTTTTTGCGCCTGTCACGCAGGGGGAAGTACCCTGCGTAGAATATTTTTATATTTGTATGTATTGTTCACAAGCATTTATTGAACCTCGCCAAGTTAGTTTAGTCCAAAGTGCAAACGGAACCACAATTGCGGATCAACAAAGGAAATAATGAATAAGGCCATACTTGGTTTTAAAATCTAGATTTAAGAGGATTTAATGAACAGCTCGTGAAATGTACGGACCTAAGACTGACATGCTTTTTTGAAAAAAATCGAAAGTCAGCTAAGATTGAAGCCGGGCCATTTACCAGCAAGTTTTCCTTGACAAATTAGTAAACCCTGGTTGAAAAGATTTCCTCACTTTGAAGTCAAGGGGAAAAACTTGACGCTTATTCCCCATTTCGAGAAATTAAAATCCCCGCGAAGTCTTCCCCGCAATTCGTCACGTAACGGTTCTCCCTAATGCGTGATGGGACAAAACGGCTGCGTGGGAGACTAATCCTCGCGTGATTATCCAACCCTCCGATCCGTGGCTGTCACGTCAATGTTTAAAAATGGTAACGATACACATGACATATGACACATGACATCACTCAGCCTTGTGATACGGTGTCAGAAGCCATGTGACGTTGTTTGTACATCCGTCAACCCACATGACTTCCCGTATTCCCAGAGAGATTCACCTTCCCTTTTTTATCTGTTTCCGTTTTGTCCGTCGTTAAAATAACTATGCAATTTTTATTTCAGTGAGTAGTTGACTTAATTATTTTTCCTTTCGTTGACATTGGTTGTTCAGATGCAACACTCATGTGGCACGTTTGTCTATGCCTAGCCTTGGTAACTTTACTAACCCAGGGAAGTGTCTGACTATCATGTGATAGGCGAACGGCTAAAAGTTCGTTCTCTTGAAGAATCGAATAAGCGGACGAATGAAAATTCGATGATCACTGATTTGACTCTAGGCATCGCGTTACGATATGTTCCGATCACATGTCCAGCGTCACTTCAACTCAACTTCTTTGAAAGCGTTGAACCTTAAAATGAACAAGCATAAAGCATGACCATCCCATTATCCGCTAGAGATGGCTGGCTACTAGTTGACCTTTTTTAGGTTTTTTGAACGTTTTAGCTGTGGTTTTTCTTGATACTTGGTGGCGGAGTTTTGCTATGAAGATCGCTTAAAAGGTAAGAAAAACCTAATAAATTGGCGCGCAAATATGATAAGTCGGTTTATAATGAAGGAAAAGTTTTTGATAACTGCTTCGAGGGCGGCACATGACGAAGAAGGTTCTACAGGCAAGAGCATGATTTTCTTCAGTATACGAAACGTTCGGGGTGCGCGGTGTTCAACGGCAAACAAAATTTTTAAGAGAGTGAAATCTTAAGTATTTTTAGTTTCATTTAATTTGTCTTCTGCTCTCCTTTCGATATGAACCCGGTTCAGTGGTAGACCCGCAAATTTAGCCTTATAACCTTACAGAAGACCAGAGAGAAGACTTTCAATTTTAGAACAGTGTTTCAATCTTCTTTTCCGCGGAAAATACGTTTAAGTGAGATTTTAGGCAACGGAGCTTAAACAAATCGTTGGGCCCGGTTTTTACGAGCTCTGTAAAGTGGAAAAATTTTAGCCTAGGTTTATTCCAGTTTTTAAGTTATTTTCTCAGTTATATGATCACAATTTATCAAACAATTACAAAACTTATTTTAAAAAAGCTAATCAAAACAAAGCTAAACATGAAGAACTCCGCTTAGCCTTTTTTTGCGAGTAGTTCTTTATTGAGTGGTCATGCCTGACCCATGCGTGAGTAAAACCCATATTTTCCTGCAGATAAATCCATACTCGGGGAAATTATTGTATTAGCAAAAAAGTAATGAGTATAGTGAGTATCTAATCTTGTTGAAATTTTTTTTACTGAATATAACGTGTCTTTTTGCAGACATATCTGAGTTTATTTGCGTTTAGTCACCATGGCAGCTCAGGGAAATGATGATGAGCGTGCTGCACTCATTTCAGGAAGTGGCGTTTACGGGGGCTTGGTTTATAGTGGAAACCACTCTGGACACCCTGACCCTTCTCCTCGTGATACCCAGGCCACCGGAAATGGAAAAAATCGGCTGGTTACCCTGTGCATTCTAGTGACTGAGTTGTGTGAGCGATTGACGTTCTACGGATTGACAGGAAATCTTGTTTTATTTTGCAAAGATGAACTGGATCTTTCCGCACCATGGCCTTCAACTATTATTTTGATATTTATGGGTAAGTGTAATTCTTAAAATTACGTTGTAATAACTGATGACAAGAGATCATTTCAACTGATCATTTCAAGAGATCATTTCTCTTGCTTACATCAGATTACTTCAGATTTAGTGAGGGGATGTATTTTTGCTTACTTTTCTCGGGATAAGTTAAGTGAGGAAAATAAGGAACCCTTACTTTCGCTGATCTCTTGACGTCAAAATGTTTAAATCTTAAGTGGAACCACGAACAGCAGGCGAGTGGTTTCCCTGTGAAGTTTTGAACACTTTGACTTCATTTTTATGATTGATAAGAGTACAGACCATGGAATGGATTTGCCTTTCTATATAATAACATTGACAGTTACCCGATTATTGTTCCTGCACTTTTTTAAGCCCATTTCCGTTGACGTTTTGCGGAGAATCGCCCGAGAGATCCAGTGGCGGATCAAGACCTTCAGATAAGGGGGGGGCCCGGTCATCCAGACCCTGGGATAAGGGGGGGGGCGGTATCAAAAAAAAATTTTCGGCCCCTCGGGCCTCAGTCTGGTCTAAAAATAAGGGGTTGCCGGGCCATAGCTCTTGACCATTCAGCGCGCGAGAAATCGCTCAGTTCTTGTAAAATTATTTATTTTTTGTTACTTTTTTCCTGTTATCATGAATGAGCAGACCATTGTCCGCAGGTGACATAATGATCGCTAGTCCAGTCATACTTCGGAAAAAAAATTTAAACTGATGATAAAAAGGTATTATCTTAACCCCTCAGGTACCTGCTACCTTATTCCCTTGCTTGGAGGATGGGTAGCCGACACATACATGGGAAAGTACAACGCAATCTATGCCAGCTCGTTGTTATACCTCACTGGAGCTTTGTTAATGCTCCCAGTTTCCAACGACAAAATCGCCCATAACAAGACAACGCGATTAGTGTACTTTGGATTGTCCCTTGTGATGATTGCAGTGGGCACTGGAGGAATCAAAGCCAACGTGGCGCCCTTAGGAGCTGATCAGCTTGAACAATACGGGCCTAGAGCCGTCCAGAGATTTTTTAATTGGTTCTATTGGTTTATTAACGTAGGATCGCTGGTGGCATTTACAGTTGTTGTGTATGTGCAACAAAAGTACACCTTCTTTTACGGGTACCTTATCACTGGCTGCAGTATGTTACTAGCTGTCCTAACCTTCGTCGTCTCCCGTAACAAGTACATAGTCAAGCCACCAGGAGGTAGTCAAATCACCGAGACTGGGAAAATAATCTATCAGGCGATAAAAAATCGCCCTCAACCAGAGGCAACGACGTGGCTAGACAGAGCAAAGATAAGTTTTGGTGGAACGTTCTCTGAAACACAAGTTGAAGATGTCAAGGCACTGTTGCGTGTCATTCCAGTATTTCTTCTATTTATCGTTTATTGGGTAATCTACGCACAGGTAACTAAATGCTCCATTCCGAATATAAGCTAAGTCATAAAACATACCAAAGATACAGTTTGCTCTATGAAGGTTCGGCAATTAAATAGTCAGTGTCATTTATCAGTTAGTACACTTATAGAGTCGAAAGGACGCTTTTTTTATCTTGCAAATGAGAAAAAAACTAATTTTATTAGAACCAACTAAATTAGCTTGCTTTATAGGTCAAAGGCCTTATGTAGCCTAAGCGAAGAGGGGAGGAAACATAGTTCTCCTTCTCGATCATTCAATACATATCATTGCCATATATATATAAAGGCAAATATCTTGAAAACTCAGTTTTCCCCTAATCTTAAGGAATGTGTCTATTATGGATCTGAAGCAGTTTCTGGGGCCGATACTCTCTACAATGGCCTATACGTGGAGGTTCCGCCTGAAAGGGGTACCTTTTTCAGGTATAAGAAAGGGCGGTAAGGATTTCTCTTGTTGAAGTGAAAAAAAAATACGGTAGGGAAATTTGTCCGTTTTAAGTCTGTAAAAAGGCTCAAAAGGGCTAACAGGTGCTATGCTATGGATGTAAAAAAAAGTCGAGAAAACGCTCTGGTTTTGTGTTCTATTCATATTTTTAGTACGTTTAGTGCAGTTACAGCAGTTAAAAGGGATGCAAAATTCTAAACTAGGCATACCAAAGGGTTACCAATTATTAATAGAAGGTATACGAAAAAAGCATATACAAGGGTGAGGGGCTGGACCTTGGAACGAAGCCTCCCGTTTAAAACTTGCCCGGTCCCTCGCCCCCTCCCCGCTGGAAGTAGTTTTCTTCTCTCCTAGAAAAAGAGATCTTTATAGAATCTAAATTCATTATTGATTTATTCTTATTTTATATTCAGATGTCGACATCATGGCTTATTCAAGGCACCTACATGAAACTAGAATTTGAGAGCTTCAGCGTTCCAGCGGCATTTCTATCCATTTTTGACATATTTATAATTCTTCTTCTCATTCCGTTTATGGATCATGTCGCGTATCCCATTCTCAAACACTACGGAATTTCCTTCAGTCCCTTACGCAGAATTGGGGTTGGAATGTTGTTAGCTACGGGATCTATGATTGTAGCGGGGCTGGTGGAGATAAAAAGAAGGCATTCTGTAGAAGAAGGACATTTCTTTGATCAGGTTGTTTTTGGTGAGCATCGCAACGCTTCAACGGTGAATATCTTTTGGCAAGTCCCACAATTTCTTCTGCTTGGTTCCAGCGAGGTGCTGTCAGTTATTACAGGTACTTATATCATAATTGAGTAATAATTAGTTCTGTTTAACCATATTTAGTACTCGCTGTGGTTAGCCAAATAATTAAGCAGTGGGGGCAGTCACATCCCATTAGCTTACAAGATAATCTAATTTTAGATAAAGATTACTTTCGATTTGTGGAACGCGTTTTCTTAGCGAGGCGGCCATTTTGAATTTTGCAGTCAGCTAGTGCAAGGACCAGAGCCGAGGGTAAGCGATCGGATCTATCCGAAGCGCGCTTTGTTAGCTAGACTTGCTACAAGTCGAGCTCACGAATTTATTACTGAGCGAAGCGAGCTTTTAGACCTCGAAATTCTCGAAGCGGCCAAGCGAGCAACGAAGGACTTTTTTCAAAGTCTAGGTGATAGCCCGTTGGAGGAGAATCACCGCGCGCTTATTAGTCAGTTCCCGCGCCTCACGATTCGAAGAGGACGCTCGGTTACTAGGACTTACCAAACGCCTTCCTGAATAATAAAAGTATTTCTAGGCTTTTCGGCAAGAAACATACGGTAGAAGACAAAGCTTTTTCTGGCGTATCCTTAAAAAATAAACAACCCTGAAAACTTCTCTTTTTTCATTAGAAAAGTTAACGCAGTTATTTTTATTGAAGGTTAATCCCTCTCCCGATGACAAAATGATAAATCTTCTAATATTTGATAACCTGCAATTGTTTCCCTCACTACAACTTCTCCAAAAATTCGTAGTAGAATGACGACGGCTATCGCGTTTTGTTCCCGCCAAAATGACGCTTGTTTGCACGCGCGCGCAGTAGTTAGCATTGAGAAAATCTCATTCTCTTGGTCGTCCTTGTATTCCCTTGTATTAGAATCCAGGTCTCTAGAAGAGAGGATAAAGGGGACAGAGAAGGCATCCCCCATACACACCCTATTCCATAGGTAGTTCGTCTCGCGTTATTTTTAAGACCACAGATCCCAAGGGGAATTAGACAACAGCCAATCACATAGTGCGAATGTGTTCCCCGTGGATGACCCACGCTAGCCATGCGTCCTTCAGGAATTGACGCAGAACAAAATGGCGGAAGACGCTGAGAGCGATATTACTATTCGTTTTGTCGACGAAAACGACTACAGAGAGATTTCTGCTAAAGCTGTGTCAGAGAAACGGAAATTAAAAAAGAATCGCCCTTCCTCTCTTGTATAGAGCTAACAGTACAGCAGGGAAATCCTTAACACACTGAATATCCTCTCAGAATCAGTTATAATTTACATTTTGAAGAGAGCAATTTCTGTTTTGATATTTATTCTTTTATTAGTCTTTTATTATTCAACAAAAATAACACTTGGTGTCCTACTTGCTTTATTGTACAAACGACCGGTTTCAATAGACCGGCGAAATTTCTCAGTTTACTAAAGCACTGAGGTCACGAAAACTTCGAGTTAAACTGATTTCATGGGTTGTCAGAGTCTAGCGATTCCCTTTTCCCAGATGAGCGCCGACTCATTTCGAGTCAATATTCAGGAATGCTTTCAATCTCTTTACGCTTTCATTGCCTTGCGCCCGACATGTTTTGCACGGCGTTTAGTCAGGCGAAACCTCCACGAAACATCCACTCAGCGCGCGAGGTAACTTTATCCCGATTCTAAAAATAACTCGAGACGAATTACCTATGGAATGGGGTGTGTATGGTGGATGCTTTCTCTGTCCCCTTTATCCTCTCTTGGTCTCTATTATTAAATATATAGAGCTATTAATATTAATTTTTGGACTTTTCTATGTGAATAGGGCTGGAGTTTGCCTACTCTCAATCTCCTGAGTACTTGAAAGGAGTAGTAATGGGCATGTTTCTGATCACCGGTGGCCTTGCAAACTATATCACCAGTCTTATTGTTGTCATAGTCAGATCAGCGAGTAACAACAGATGGTATCCAAGCAGCGACCCTAACAAAGGAGAACTGGAATGCTTCTATTTTCTTCTAGCCTCGCTAATGATGCTCAATTTTGCCATTTTTATGTTCGTTGCTTCGCGGTATACTTACAAGGTTACGCCCAAAAAGATTGCACAGAAAGAGTATTGGGTGAAAGGAGATCAGGAAAATGAACCTAAAGTATAACAATTATAATTACTGAGCTTAGGTTTAATTAAGACGAACTTTGTTTCATCTTGAAATCTGATGATTTCGTAGGAGCAAAACCAAACAACTAACGGACAATAACGTAAGATTTGACTGGTTCGTCGGACAGACTCCAGTATGCGCGGCTTTTGGTGCATGTTTTGGTGACAACGCAATGCATTCTAAGCTGAGCAAATTGTTGAAAACAAATTTTCTAGATAATTCTGGAAGTAAAAGATTGGGATGAAGATTGGACGATCAAACGATGTTTATCCATCTTAGCGTTTTTGTTCGCGTCAAAAGGACGTTTTTATCCTTTTCGCAGTGGCTGATAAAACGGATACCAACAACAAACGCTAAACAGTTCTGAAAAGGCAAAGGAAATCGCCCAATATTAGAAAGAAAAACTCTTTAAGAGTTTTTTTATATGTCGACTGTACGTACAAATATATTTTTAAGGATAATCCTAGAAATCATACGGGATAATCATGTTTTCCAGCTGGAAAGAACGGGGTTTTCCAAGCATTTCTTGTCAGTAGTTCATCTTTTCGGTATCAGCTCCTTTGTAGATTAATTTTGAGTGTTTTTAGGATTTTAATCAGCTTTTCAATGTTGCACTATAGTTAACTTGACCGACATCTAATAAAATTCTCTGAACTAAAGTTGTGATTCTTCCTCTACTTAATAACCTGTAACTGATTACGATAAGAAGTCAAGAACTCGGTGATTGTTTAAAATCGCTCGTTGTATGACAAGGATACATATAATCTTCTTTAATTTACCATACTGTTTTCAGTAGAAGGAATTGTATTATAATCCACGCATTTGTCGAGTGAAGTGAGCATGTGTCTCGCCTGTGTTTAGAACTCATGTATTTAACTGCATATTTTGCACCAGTATGAGGAAATCTTACTTAATTAATTTTCGTGAAATTTTGTTCAGGAACTGCTCATTTGAATAACAACAAGTAAACTCAGAATTCCACACATGACAGTAAAGAAAGAAACTCTGGTGTAGTTCTTTGCAGGCGATTTGTTTTTGCTGGAGTAGTCACGAACGCCGCCAGGATTGTTACACAAATCACCCTCGCAGCAAACCGCGCCGCAACTAGTGATGTTAATGCCAGAAGTCGCTAGAGAACTCGTCTTCATCTGCTGACAAGTCATGTTGCCCTCTAACTGTTGAAAGCTGCAGGATGATTTGATGCTGCAGTTAAGGATAAAGCCTTTGATATAGCCAAAAATGGAATAATTCATGCGAACACTAGCGATACCACAGGAATCGTAGGCGCTTCCCAGGTCACTGCAGTCAACAGTGTCAGTGGTATTGTGACAAAGACTTGTGTTGGATATCACAGGATGGCTCAAATTACCCCCTAAGGCTGCGTCGAAATCAGCTTTACACTGAAGACATTTGATAGCACAAGCTGCAAGGTAAATGACGATGTTTTCTTGATTCAGTCGAACAAGCTAGAGGGTTTGGCTATACTTAAAAGGATGGGGCAATGTAGACGCTAAATCAATAATTTTTGGTATACCTCCTTACTAAAAGCGCCTTATCCGATTGAACGCCGAGCGTATGACTTTCCATATGCGAAAAAACGTTTTTAAGCAAGATCAGAGGAACTCAGTTACTTATTTGCCTGGGGAAACATTAACGGCTTCGTGAAAACTCACCTCCCCCAAGATAAAAGTATTTTGCTAATGAGAATGGGAGAAACCTAATAACAAACTTATATCGTGTTACAAGTCAAAAAAGAACATTAAATGAAGCATTGGGTTCATTCTTTCGACCGTACATTTCTTCTCTTTCGCTTGAGACCGACACCACTACTCTGGAATGGAGAATGGCCTTTGGATAGGCTGTGAACAAGCTTTCTTGTAGGGTATAGGACTGGGGAAAAGAAAGCTACAAAGTGCGACGATACGTGAGGGGAAAATAGAGGGGAAGTCAGGGAACAGGCTTGTGTGCCCCTTACATTCCACGATCCGCCGGGTTCTTACTGCAGGCTAGCGGTTGACCAGCCTGAACAAAAAACGACCTTCAATTGCACCCTAGGCATAACGAAAATGTGCGGACGTACAGAAATGTGAACGACCAAATCTTATATACGGAGCTGCGAAAGCTTATCTTAACTTTTTTTTAGTTGTGCTTAAGTCAAAAAGCAAAGGCTTTTACAACTTAACCAACCGTGTTTAACGTAACAGTTTTCTCTGACCCAGCTGTTTTAGCTATATTATGAAGAAGGTACCCTTCCTACTAGGTACATCACGCCCTTTAAGAGGCGCTCGATGAGAGACGGATATAACAAACAATTGAACTGTCAGCTGAAAGAGGAAAGATTGTTAACGGATAGCTTAGAGGTGTGATCCCAAAAAAAAATTAACTGCCAATAATTGAAAAAACGGGCCGGAATTTAAACTAATAACTGAGAAATTGTCGAAAAGAAACCTACCACTAAAGGGCTCTTGTTCGTTAACTTTTAGAGGCCCATTTAAATACTTGCGCAAACACAACGCGCTTTACTGATAGTACGAGTACAGTAAAGACCACACGAGTTGTGTCGAGAAGAAAAAGCAATGAATCTATTCAAGTTCATGGCCTTTTTCTTTGATTCAAATCCCCAAGCAGAACCTCCGCTACTAACCTTCTTGCACTGCAATCACCATCACAGCTGTTAACAAAAACGTTTTCATCATGAACCTTATTCTTCGTTATGTTGCCACTGTTACGTCCTCTGAAACGTCATAATCACGTACATGCACGAGTGTGATGCGCGCTCAGTGGAATTAAGAAATGGTAAACGTGCAGCGTTCAACCATCGAGTTATGGCCGGATGCACGCGGGAGATTGCATAGCACGAAAAAAGAGTAAGAGTTACTCAAGGCATAGCCACATGACATGACAATAAAGTTAATGATGACATGGTTTTTATAACATTTGACTAGAACGAATGGAAAGTATACGATGACTAGCTATGCTATGCCAGCTTTTGAAGTGGTACTCCATAAAGACCATTGTCTCTTTTCTTATTGAGATCCACAAGCAGGTGCCGGGAAAAGGATCTAGTCAGCAAACATCAAAAAAGCCGAAGGCTGACTGTACATCTATGAGATTAAAACTTCCTTTTCTCGTAATTGTACAGTCAGCCTATCTTTTTTGCTGTTCATCTAAAGTGAACTCATCACCACGTGACATGCCTAGTGACCAAAAATATGCGTTAACGAATTTTTTACATTTGGGAAACATTTCTTGCTGCAGGTTTTTTAGCGAGTGGATATTGCTTATTAAACACTTCCCTCTGGCTTTATAGAACATGTACATAGGTTTTTTTGTGGGCAGGGGGGGGGGGGGGGGGGGAGGGGGTTAAAGAAAAGGGGGGAGGGCTAAACCCCTTTAAGGGAAAAAAAAGTTTTTCTCCCCTTTTTCCCCGTTTCCCTTCCCCCTTAGGAGTCCCCTGAAGCCCCCGTGAAATGGGGGGCAATAAGGGTTTTAAAGGGGGGACATTTAGGGGGGGACTTTAAAAAGAGCGTGTTCTTTCGTGAAAGGGAACCCATCCACACGTTGATTGGCTAGTGAACAAAAAAGATGTGTTACTGATTTTTTTATTTTGGGAAAATTTTTTTTGCTCGGGTTTTTTAGGGAGGTGGTTTTTTTTTTTAAAACCTTCCCCTTGGCTTTTATAAAAAAGGTAATAGGTTTTTTTTGGGGGCGGGGGGGGGGGGGTGTGGAAGGTGTTCAAGAGAAGAGGAGAGAGCTACAACCCTGTAAGGGAAAGAAAAGCTTTTCTCGCTCTTTTCCTCGTTTCCCTTCATCCTTTAGAGTCTCCTGAAGATCGCGTGATACTGGGGGCAAATAGAGGTTTAGAAGAGGTACAGTTGAGGTGGGACCTTAAGATATACCGTGTCCGTACAAGGTAAAGTACCCCTACCCGTGGCTGTAGCCTGTTCACAGACCGTCTATTTTCTCTTCATAGTCCGTCGAGCGCTGGTGATAGTTGTTTTTGAAAAGAACGAAAAGAAAAATTAAAAAACGTCTGTTTACAGGCTACCGTGGCTGTAAATACAGCTACACTGCCTCTTACCTCGGAAAAACGACTAGGTTTGGCTGGGTAGAAAATGGTAATACCATTATCACATGTGGGGAATAATGGTCGCCTTTTACACAACTATGTAGACCCATATCCCAATACTTGGAATACTGGGCAGAAACGGTGCACTAAGTTCCGGGCTTCGTGCCGTTTTATGACAGTAGCGGCCTGTTTCTCTTAAGGCCCAGAAACTCAGTTCGGACCATAAGGCAAATTTTAAATCTTTAAATCAAAACCGGTCAGAATAGTAGCCCAGTTCCTAGCCCACAAACCTGTCAGTTTTGCTTCGTTCACTAATAGTTTCATTGTATTATTTTCAAAATTATTGAAACTTTTATCTTGAATGAAAAACACAAAACAGCTTTCAGCGCCCGAAAAGTTACCGGGACTTTCGAGAAAAGGCCGTGGGGCCCATTTCTCGAAAGTCCCGATAATTAACGGGCCCGGTAAGCTGTCCCCGTTTACATTAAAGATCGAGGTTTCAATAGTTTTGCATCTAGCATGATAAAACTATCAGTTAGTGAAACAGAATGGAGTAGTCTGCTAGCCAGGACCGGCGCTCTTATTCTTTATATTTCGATTTGAATATTTGTTTTCGGGCCCGAAAAGTTACCGGGACTTTCCAGAAACGGGCCCCTGGGGAGGCGACAGATCGGTACTACATGGAAGCGAGGCGACACCGAAAGACACCTGAATCTCACGTGAATACCTCGGGTATGCCGATCTGTTTATATTTCACCTTTACGGTACTTCAGTCTACTTCCTTTTATCAGTGTAAAGCAACATCGGGTCAATATCGCCATAGGTAGTTTTCTTCGGATGTAAAGGTAAGAAGCAATTTGCTGTGATTTTTGTCTTGCAATTGTGGAAATATTGGAGCAATTTACTTTTGCCTAATTTTCGCATACAGCAGAGATCGAGAAATATTTTTTAAGCAACAATAATGAACCAGCAAAAAGGACAAGTAGGGTCAGTCTAACATTCATTCACATGCAAATGAAGGGTCTGATATTTTATGCTTTACCCGAAGCATTCAGCTGGTCTGTAACGTCAACTGTGTGTGATCGGCTGATAACAGTTTAGTTTACTTTGACCGCGTTAGTAGCGGAGAGCGCGCTGTCAACGATACATATAATTTATACGGTCGATCTGAACTGTACAGTGCTTTTTACTTCAGATCTCGATGCAGGCGTACAAGAATTTTTATCAAATNTGAGCTTCAATTACTTATTTGTTATATACTTTTTTGTTTGTTGTTAACATAGTTCATCGTATTTTTGTTGTTGTTTGCTTTGTTTATGTGTTTTTGGAGTGATTTATTGATTTTTGTTTGGGATGTGTGTGGTTGGTATTTTGTGTGGGTGTGGTGGGGGGGGAGGAAGGGTGGCGCACTTTTCCTTTAATGGGAGATTTGACTTCTACAATTTTTGTGTGGGTAGGGTGCAAATGGAGGGACCCCTGTTTGTCTTCTTTCCTGACATAAAATAGTTGCATCGTCATCAGCCAGTTTAAAACCACCTGTTGATCAACCCCTGACAACCATACATCTACAATCACCTCTAGCATGGTGAAGTGTGGTTGTGACTTACTGTAAAGGTTTGCATCTCAAATCCTAGGCAGAGGGTGGGGTTGGGTGCATTTGGGTCTGTAAGAAAACAAACAGTTTGGTGTGGACCTTCTAGTCTGGATCATAGCCTATAAAGCTGAGCCAGATCTACAATATTCCTTCAATTCAGTGAAGACGTGTCGCTTCAAAGCTGCTTCATTCAGTTTAATCCCATTCATTACTTTCCACTTTATCGAAAAAATGTTCTATTCATCACTGCTGTGGTTTTCTTTTTTTCTTGAGGAGATTGATATTCCACGCATCCGCTTGGATATCAGATCAAATCAACTGATTTCATCGTGAGGACACTTTAGACACAACAAATGCGGCCTTTATGGGTAACCATCGTAATGTTTTCCTGGCAACCCTTCTTAGCCTTCTGATTTTCCAGTTTAAATATTCCGCGAGGTTGAAATCCAAACTGAAAGGTAAAATATACAGCCACATGGTCCTCAGAAATTGTTCACCGATCACAGAAGGAGATCAATCATGTTCCTCTCCAGAGATAGCAGTAATCATAATTTTCCTAATTTCCATAAGCATCGTGTTTCTAAATGTATGGCAAACATTTATGGCAGGTCAGCCAGGAATGTCAACAATCAAAATTAATTGGCGGTGCAATATTTTTCAGCCAATGATACTTTTAATTTGCTTCGTCTGTGAAAAAAATTTATAAGAGATCATTGCAAGGTCTCCTTTCCTCCACCCCTTACAGCTTTGCTGCTCGCTCTGACTTGTGTTCTTTTGCAGCTCACTTCACTCGCCATACATGGAGGGTTTTAATTTTTAATACTCAAATCAATCTGATACCTTAGTGAGTCAGTGAGTTCTGTCTTGCATTCCACTCAATAGTAATCTTCTGTTTAGAATCTAATGGCATACAGACGGACTCAGAGCCACAGCGGAGACATTAGAAACCAGAAAGGAAAAATCAAAATCGGGGCACCAAATCCAAAAAATCAAAACCAAATGCCAAAAAAGTTAAAGGAAAGAGCGTAAACCACTAGAGACACCTAAGTTTTTCTTTGCAAACCCCCGAAAAAACAACATTAAAAGTAGTAATAAACCTACAAACTGAAAATCCCAATACCAAGGATTTGCTGTTCCTTCTAGGGTCAAACTCTTTTTAAAAATACAGATAGCATTCGTTTAATATGAAAAACGACATGTAAATACCATACACTGACAAGATGAAATGATCGTGTTGTGACATTTCTTAATAAATTATGTTTATTTTCTTATACAGGCTGTTGTAACTGAATTATACGATGGATATCCACAGTGAAGAGGAGACTGCTCCATTAATCTCAAAGGACAGCCCTGGATCTTCCACTGAGAATAACCACTTCAAAGGTCCTGGTCAGAAACTGCTGGTTACCCTGTGCATCCTCATCACCGAATTGTGTGAGCGTCTGACATTCTATGGACTGACAGGAAATCTAATTTTATTTTGTGGTAGTGAATTGGGTCTTCAGGCACCTTGGCCATCAACAATTAATTATCTTTTTCAAGGTTGGTTTCTAGTCAAGCCTCGTGTAAGCGACCACACAAAAATAATTTGTAATGAGATTTAGGGCTGCTTATAGCGAGTGATTGCTTGCAAGAATCATTAACCACACAGGGGCTCTCTTCCGAGAAAAGGATGTCTGGGAATACTGTTTCTACTTTTTGCATCAGATATGTGGTTCTATAGTGGCACTCAAAGTTCTTCCCGAACTTTGAGTAGCTTGGTGTACAGTGAACGTTAACACATAAATCGGACCATTCACTAACTTGTAGCTCGAAGGGGTTAAATGAATGTTAAAACCAACATCCCAATAAGTAGTCATTGGGTTGCTTACAAATGTATTTGTACATGTAAGAGGCGTCATTTACAAAAGGTTCCAATTATAGGGCGATCTGACTGGGAAAATTTTGGTGTTTTACATTAAAAGGACTGCTTACTAAATAATGAGGCCTGGTGACTTATAAGAGGTGGAGATTCGATCGTAAAAATATAATTTATTGTGTATTAATAAACAGTGTTGTTTAGACCGAATCTATCAGGAAATTGAGTAATTTTAATTTTCAGTGGACAGAAACCATGTACCACAATAATTTAAACAATATCACATTCTTTTTTACATTTTTCGAAGGCTATAGATGTAATAAGTTATCTGTGATAATAACACCAAAGAGATTTCTTGTGGGAGCCCTAGAAAACGAATGTCAAATTTCACAAAGTGACATCTTACACATGAAATTTTCAGGATTTTACCTGTGTTTTCACAATTCTTGTGAAATTTGACATTTATTTTCTCGGGCTCCCATGAGAAATTATAGTCTTCCATGTTATTACACAATAAATGATAATAAATTACATCTATAGCCCTTGAAAAATGTAAAAAAGGATGCGGTGTTGTTTAAAATATTCTGGTACAAGGTTTTTGTCCACTGAAATTTGAATTACTCAATTTCCTGATGGATTCCATCTTAATAATTCTAAGGATACACACTGTGTATAATTGGTCAGTAATAATCTCTCAGACACTTTGTACCATTGAATACCCTCCAGACTATTTATAAAGCCCTCCTTTCCTCTTATTTGTCATATGGTATAGTCGCCTGGGCACAAGCGGCCAAGACTCATATGCTAACCAACCATTTTTGCCACAAAAACGTGCCGTTTGATTCGCTTTAATGTACTTTGTTATCTTTGCAATCATCTTAATAGTGTGCTTGTAAGCTTTTGACTTATATTCTGTATTCCAGTTAATCTCAGCATTGCCTTTAGCACAACCTTTCTTCCGTTCTTTACCTTTGTACAAGTTTTACAATGTATATATATATGCTTAAATAACTTTTGTTGACTTGTTAAGGTGGCTCCGTAATTAATACAAGAGCATTTAGCTGCGACAAATTTTCCGTCATAACTTTTTCGATTTCAACGCGATGGCTGCAAAACTTTGCAAAAGACAACAGATATCATTCGGCAATAATACGAAATATTTCGATTTCGTTGCTGGTAAATATTTCTTGAGAAATTAGCGCTTAAAAGGACCCTACTGTTCAAAGAAAATTTCGTCTAGTAAAAATTTTTGCTGATGTTTTTTACTGAAATTTCTGGTATCGGCTTTAATTGATATAATAAATATGCCAGAGGAGTTTAAGAAAAATCGTTGGAGCAGAAGTCCGTAACTAAAAGTCGCTCAAAATTCAGCTGTCAAATTGTTTTGGAATTTCAAAAATAAATTACTATCAGGAAGAAGGAGACACCGGTTTCAATTTTCGGGAAGGCAAGTAAATTCAGTGTTTGCTAATTCTGAAAACAGAAGCCGATTGCCTATCGTGCTTTTCTTTAAAAGGTACTTTTCAGTTTTAGAAGCACTATAAATTGCTCCAAACTTTGCTCTTACATCGAATGACTTATTCCTCGACATTTTTAAAATATCCCTTGGCAGTTTTGGCTCAAACTCCTGCTACATACATTTTGATGTATTGCAATGCATTCTCAACGGCTTTTCCTGCTGTACATTGTTTCCAATTCGGGAAAAAGGTATTGGGATTGTAAGCTTACCTTGTATCGAAGCTCAGATAGAACTGTCCAGCACCTTTGTTTATGACTATAAAATGAGCACGAGCGGCAGCTCTGCAAGGAATTCGCACCTCAGCCAGGGGGGACGAATGACAATGATCCCCATGTATGTGAACCGATCCGTATTAACATGTATTGCAGAGCAAAACATAATAATCAAGGAAAAAAATAGCCATTCATTGAAGGAAGTAGTGACAAAAATTTCAGAGTTGTAAATTTATTCACGGGAAGTATTTTTGGGATAATTTTATTTTGCACTGTGATGTTATTCGGTTTACAGGCATGGTCATCATTGTCGTTCGTCCCCCCTGGGTGAGGTGCAAATTCCTTGCAGAACTACCGCTCGTGCTCATTTTATAGTGATAAACAAACACAGGAAAAAATAACGGATTCCCATTTTTGGATATTTTTGGGTATTTAAAGAATACTCATAAAAATCCCAAATTTGGCAAAGTGAGACAAGTCCCAACCAGGGAATTCCCAACCAAGTTCCCAGATTGGGACTTGTCTCACTCTTCCAAATTTGGGATTTTTGTGGGTATTCTTTAAATACCCAAAAATATCCAAAAATGGGAATCCGTTATTTTTTCCTGTGAAAGGTGCTGGACAGTTCTTTCTGAGCTCTGATACGAGGTAGCGTCCAATCTCAATACTTTTTTCCTGAGTTGGAAGCAACGAACAGCAGTAAAAGTCGTTGAAAATGCATTGCAATACATCAAAATGTATGCAGCGGGAGTTTGAGCCAAAACTGCCACGGGATATTTTAAAACTGTCGAAGAACAAGTCATTCTACTTTAGACCAAGGTTGGGAGCAATTTATAGTGCTTCTAAAAATAAAAAGTACCTTTTAAAAAATAGCACGATAGGCAATCGGCTTTTGTTTTAAGAATTAGCAAACGTTGAGTTTACTTGTCCCGAAAATTCAAACTGGTGGCTCCTTCTACCTGATAGTAATTTATTTTTGAAATTCCAAAACAATTTCACAGCTGAATTTTGAGCGACTTTTAGTTACGGACTTCTGCTCCAACGATTTTTCCGAAATTCCTCTGGCATATTTATTATATCAATTAAATTAAGCCGATACCATAAATTTCACTAAAAAATATCAGCAAATTTTTTTACTAGACGCGATTTTGTTTGAACAGTAGGGTTCTTTTAAGCGCTAATTTCTCAAGAAATATTTACCATCAATGAAATCGGAATATTTCGTATTATTGCCGAATGATATCTGTTGTTTTTTGCAAAGTTTCGCAGCCATCGCGTCAAAAACCAAAAAGTTATGACCGAAAATTTGTCACAGCAAAATGCTCTTGTATTAATTACGGAGCCACCTTAATTTAATACCATTTAGAGTGTACGTGTATTTGTTTTCCCTCTTTAAGACTATAACCCTTGCTATTTGTGGGCAGTGAGAAAATAAAATTGTAAAAATTGTAAATTTAATATAACTATTAAAAATGAAGATGATGATTAAAATGACCCACTAGTGATATGTATACCATTTTGTCAATGTACCAAGTAGTGCTCATAGGTAAACCAGCATCATTTCAATGGTGAGAAAACTCAACAGCCATCATCATTCTATATAGCTACTACTTAGTTTTAGTGAGAATGTGGTAGTGGTAAAGACATGTTGTTAAAATATTAGAAGTTTTATTATTTTGTGATCGGGAGATCAGAGGGCTCAATGAAGATATCAGTGCTAACTTTTTTGGTGAAGAAAATGAAGCTTTCTGGGCTGTCTATTTTTGGAGAATATCCCCCCCCCAAAAAAAAAAAAAAAACTTTAAATCAAATCTCATACTCGTAGTCATTCTCGTCCTCAAATCTAAAGGTCTCTTTTATAGTAACGCCGTAAGCAGATCATCAGCATGTGATTAACAGCATTTCCTTAATACTTTTATTAATGCTCATAATTATTTTTAGGAACATGTTATCTCATTCCTTTGTTTGGAGGATGGCTGGCTGATGCACATCTGGGCCGTTTCAACACCATTTATGGCAGTTCTTTGCTTTATGTTGTCGGGACTATCCTACTGGCAGCAGTTTCTATACGAAATAAAATGCTGTCATCATGGTTTGATCATGATAAGCATTTTGCCCATGATCCCACTATCAGACTGGTTTATTTTGTTATCTCTTTGGTATTAATTGCATTCGGCACCGGTGGAATCAAAGCAAATGTATCACCATTTGGAGCTGACCAAGTTCAAAAAGATGGGCCAAGAGCAATCCAAGCATTCTTTAACTGGTTTTACTGGTTTATAAACATTGGATCACTGATAGCCTTTACAGTGGTTGTGGGGGTACAGCAAAATGATGTATTTTATGGTTATGTGATAACAGCAGGAACAATGTTTCTTGGTGTAATTGCCTTCCTCTCTGGCCGAAAAAAATATTTAAACAAACCGCCAGGTGGCAGTCAGCTAACTGATACCGTAAAGATCATCTATGAAGCCATAAAGAATCGTGGCTCGGCAAATGCAATGGTCTGGTTGGATAATGCAAAGAATACATGTGGAGGAAACTATACTGAGGCAAAGGTGGAAGATGTCAAAATTTTGTTAAGGATTTTACCAGTGTTTGCTTTGTTCATTGTCTACTGGACAATTTACTCACAGGTATAAATTATCAATATCTCATGCTATTTGCTATTTTTTTAAATGCGGTAGCTAAAACTTGTCTTCCCATCAACTTATTGAATTCCAAAAATAAGGGTCAGGGGTTTATTAAGTCTATAATAATTACCGGTATTATAAAATTTATTTTAGGCTGTTTTGCCTCTTTTTTAAAGTTTTAATTCTGAGTTTGCAAAAATCACCAAAAAACTATTGTAGTTGGTTCTCCCTGGTGAAATTTGTTTGATGTGTTCTTAATAACTCTACAGCTGTATTTTTTGTATGAATAAAGGCACAGTTAATAATATTTTAGTAATGACTACAGCAGAGAATTTAAAAGAAATGTGATTCCCCTGCACGTTCTCTGCATGTTCAATGCTTGCATAAGCAGACATCAAGAATAGAAAAATTATCTGTAACTCATGCATCAGGAGTTTGCTGATTATGATATTGTGATATAAACCCTTGTTTTAATAAGCAGCCTGTAGCAGTAGTATAAGATATCGGAGGCTGGCTACAACAAGTTGTCAACTAGCTCGCATTTTATGTTCACTTGTTAATTTGTAAATACAGACAGTGTTACTGAAAATATTCTTTCATATAATACTTGTAGTAAGTATTAAAATGTACAATTATTATCATAACTATAATAGTGTGGATATGCTGTACAGTGGTCAACAACTTTGTACATGGATTTGAAGACTTGAAATATGTGTTTGAAAGTTCAAGATTGTCTTCCTGGAAAATGTCCTCTTGGTTAAAAAAATAGCCATCAAAGTCTGCTTTTAATTTGTCCTTTCTTGCAGATGCAGAGCACATTCCTCATACAAGCCACCTACATGAGACTGGAATTTAAAGATTTCACTATTCCAGCTGCTTCTCTTTCAATTTTTGATATAGTTGCTGTTCTTGCATTTATTCCCATTATGGATCATGTTGTTTACCCCCTCATTCAATTCTGTGGCATTAGATTTACACCCCTGCGCAGGATTGGTGTTGGACTGCTGTTAGCCGCAGCATCTGTGGTAGTAGCTGGTCTGATTGAAAGGAAGCGACGACATGTATGGCAAGATGGAGGTGTTTATAACCAAACTGTTTTAGACAAAAACCTTGAAGCTTCAGATCTGAATGTCTTTTGGCAAGTCCCACAATTTATGTTAGTTGGTTCCAGTGAGGTTCTTACAAGTATTACAGGTGGGAAAACAGCATTAAAAAAATTGTAATTTGCCCACAATGCACTTTGTTAACATTACTATCCAAGTCATTTTTAGAAGGATTTGTGTGGAGTCATCAGAGCAAACTGGTGATTATATCTACTCACCAATTTGCACTGAATTTTGGCAAGTGGCCTTTTTTCATCTCGTTCTTTCTCAATATGTTAACCAATCCAATAATTTCACAAATTTGAATTTTTGTTACGTCACACTTTTCTTCTCTGATTCAAGAAAAGTAAACATTTCTATGGTGCTCTATGCTGGGAGTCTAAATATACTCGCATTGCAGTCCTTGCATTCTGGTTCAATTATTGCTGTATTACATACTAAGTCATTGTTAGAACACCCCTATTAATCAGTCAGCTATGGTCCCTTACCCTGCTAGCAAAGGTTTCTCTTAGCATGCATGGTTGAAGTTGCTTACACCACTCAAAGCAAACGACCTCCTACAAACTAGCAACCACGCCAGAAAGAAACCGCTGTCCTGTGTTAGGGTTTATTTAAGTGACCCCGTAACAGAGGTTTGACTCCGCAATATGTAACAAGATGGTGGGCAGGGGGGGAGGGGGGGTTGGTGGGGGGCTGGGCACAGGGGGAAGGAGACAGATATTTAACAATTGTTTTACAAGTTTGAGCAAAATATCATGATTTAATTGTCGGTGACGAGCAAGTCAATTATTTGCTGAAGCTAAAGACTGAGGCAAGTAATAACTGATCTGCAAGACAGTGAGAAATCACGATTTTTTGTAATAACAGAGTTCAATAATTATTTTATCATTCGATCACCGAGTTTGTTTTTTCATGAAATTTATATCCACGGGAAGCGATGCGATCTGCCATTTTTATGCAAGAGCAATTGCAAGAAGGAGAAAGGCGTGGTTTCCTATATGCATGAGCGGAATATTATTTGCAGCCAAACACAGTTGGACGAAATTGCGCTTGAGCAGAGCATTATTTGTAGGCGGTTATTTGCAGGTCACGTGGTGGGCTCTCAGCAAATCAAAAGATAAAAAAATTTGCTTTGAATGATAATTTCCGTTACTATACACATTTATTAAGTTATTGTCTTTTTGTTTTTTTCTTACAGGATTAGAGTTGGCTTATTCTCAGTCTCCTCAACACATGAAGGGACTTGTGATGGGTGCCTTCCTGGTGACGAGTGGCCTTGGAAACTATGTCGCCACTCTCCTTGTTGTCATTGTTCGATCAGCTAGCAATGAAAAGTGGTATCCAAGTGATGACCCCAACAGGGGAGAACTGGAAAATTTCTTTTTTCTGTTAGCTGGACTAATGATGCTGAACTTTGTGGTTTTTCTGTTCATTGCCTCCTCCTATAAATATAAGACTGTAACTCGCAGAGAAGAAATTAATTCAAATGTTAAGGACACAGGCCAATCTTCTGATCGTGATGTGTAATTTTTACTGAGTTGCTTGTTAATTGTCAAGTAGACTAAAAGACATTTCACATCATTGAAGAAAACACATCTAATTGGGTGTCAGACATGACGTGTTTTGTCACCAAACATTTGATGTTTGACAGCCGTTAAAGCCAATTACTGTCATGCCAAAGGTTCAGTTGTTGACATGTTTTTGATCAGCCCATTCGGCTCATCTTTTTTTTTTTTTCCTTCTCAATTTTCAGTAATATTTCTCACTCAGAAACAGAACACTTGCTTTTAAGAATTATTCTTTGGAGTTTTCCAACTCCAGAAATTCTTCTTATCATCTTGCGATGAATATTTTTTTGATCAAAAACGAATCAAGTCGACAACTAAGAACAGCTGCCTACTTTGCACGTGAACATACGTCTAACGCCACCCCAAACTTCAACAGTTTGGCGGCAAAACATATCTTGTTTTCACCCAATTAGGGACTTGTCAGAAATTAGCAGGGGGGGAGGGGGGGTGGAAACAGAGGGAGGGTCACAACTTTTTGAGACTCAGAAAAGGGAGGGGTCATGAAAAATGGGCCATTAAAAGGGGGAGGGTCATGCAAATATATGCCCGTGATCATGTAGAGGTTCACCCACAGAAGAAAAAGAAAGTTCTTTAATGGTAAAAAAAAAGAGCAACGGAATATTATGGATATAAACTGTGAAGTATTTAACAAACATCTACTTTTCATTTATAACAATGCTATACAGTCTTATTGCAATAATGAATAATGTTGTTGTTAATGTTATTATAGTTTTGGCTATCCTTTTCATTCCTGTCTTCAGCATCACTATCAGTGCTGCTGTGAGCATCTTGATCATCATCATTTACATCATCAGCATTTTATTTTGTTTATTGTATCTTATTTTATTAGCTTCGCTTTGATAAAATCACTTTCATCATCATCATGATTTTCATTTCAGTTGAAGCGTAGATATTGCTTGATAATGTCCTGTGATTCATTGGAGAACAACCCTTCTCAAAGGCGTATTGGGTATAAGGTCTTTGTGTTTTGAGGACCCCACTTATTCCTTCATAATGAAGAAATAACGGGCCAATAGGCTCTGTTACATCATGCGATTCTTGCTGAGGTGTAATATGGTTTCAGTAGCTCTTTTGCAGTTAACTTCCATTCTTTTGCCCTGGCTTTTTTTTGCTTTCCTTTTATTTTGTTTTTGTTTCCTTTTTTTCTTGTTGGCTTGGAATACTGCACCTTAAAGAGCCTGGAACATTTTTCTTTCAATTGTGTAAGGTGGGGAGGGTCATGATATTTTAGACCAAGCTCAAGGGGAGGGTTAGCAAATTTCACTCGCATTGCAGGGGTGGGTCACCTAATTTCCGAACCCAAATTTAAAATTCCCACCCCCCCCTCCCCCCCTGCTAATTTCTGACAAGTCCCTTAGAACATGTTTTTTGGTCACATGTACACATTTAGATGCAACTTACGGTAACTTGTACCTGAGGTATTGTCTTGTGTAGTTAACAAAATTAATTTTACAGGGTCGGCCAGGGGGGTTAGTGGTATACCAGTATACCCGAAAAAAATACGCCAAAATACCCAAAATTCATCCAAATATACCAAAAATTATACCCAGGTATACTTTATACCTGAAATTCAAAGAAAGTGATATACTGAATACCCGTATTTAAGCTGCAATATACCGTATACCCGATTTAAAAAGTCCCTGTATACCGTATAACCAAAAACCCTGGCTGACCCTGATTTTAGATTAAATCCTGTTTTATGTGGAAGCTAATTTATAAAGCCGTAACTACATAAGTAGTCTTGACATGCAACTGTTCTTCAAAACTTCAAATGTGTTGCGTCTTTCGTTTTGTCATGATTATTCTGGCCCTCTGTTTACAGCTTACTCAGCTGCCTTTGCATGTCAACTGTTTTTGTTTCTGACACTGAATGGGACATTTTACAAAAAAAAACAGGGATTGCGTTATTAAATTGCTTATCACTCCCATTTGAGTCTTAAGAATAAATCATACAAGAAAATTAAATTTTGTAAAATATTGAAAATCCATAAACTTTATTTGAAAGGTCTGCTTAAATTAGGTGTTCCTGGAATGTTTACCTCACAGGATTTTGTCCACAGACTCAAAAGTTTAATGCTACATAGTAAAAATACATGGTACCATGTATTTGTACCAACTGGTAGAGAGATTCAGTCATTTGAATAGCTAAGACATCAGATGTCCGCAGACTGTAAGTCACTGGTTGAAAATGAATTAAGGTGGAGGTATGTTTTGACTAATTTATTGAGATATACATGGGACCTTTTTCTGTTTCTAAAATATTTTAAAAAAAAATTATTATTATTAACAACATTTTTCAACATTATATTGGTTACAACATTTAAAAAAGACGTTATAAAAAAACGATATAGGTACAATGTTTATTTGTAGACTCTTTTAGGCTTATGATTTTTAGTATAGAGTCAATTTTCCATAATACAGACAACCTAAGGGACAGTCCCAAATGTCTGCTTCACGTGATGATATATATCACAGAGGTAGAATATGTGTAAAGTTTTGGTATCTTTGTGACTGTCCATCATAGAGTTCCCTAACTAGCAGAGTCCTCTTTTCCCTGGTATCTGGCAGGCGGGAACCTGGTATTCGGCACCTGCCGAATAGGGACCTTGCGAAACTACGACGGCGGCGGCAACAGTAAAGTCAAAAAGCAATTGGTTTAGTTAGCAAAATAACAACTCTGCACGTGCATCACGCTTTTTGGTACATTTCTTTTCCGTCCCTGCACTACTACAACGTGAAATGACCAAAGTTTAAGCTTTTTTTTACGACGGGAACGGCAAGGCGATAAATTCTACCATCTCTGTTCGAACTCGGGTGCGGCCCCCTCTCTTCAGCTCCAACATAAATTCCCTTCTTTTAAGTATTTGGGCGACTTGGGATAATCGCGAAACGGTTTGAAAGGATGCGGAGTCTATTTTTCAGTTAGGTTTTCATGGACGTCGCCGTTGTGGGATCGTAAGGTCCCTTATACTAGGGAAAAGAGGCCTCTACTCGCAGTGAAATAAAAGAATGGTCTATTTAAATAATGTTTTTTTTTATTGTACTGGGGACTCTGTTTTAAAATAATTTATGAGAGCGAATAAGTACAATTTGCAGAAAAAGAAGACAATATTACTGTATATAAAAAAGTGATTTGGATCCCAACGATGGTATAACACGACTGTTTTAGTTTAGAGTAAGCTTTGAAATTTTATAGGTTTTATTAAAATGGCTGAAATAAAAAGATTAATGTAATTTTAGTACGTTGGTTTGTTTGCTTGAATTAACAGTTCTCGAAAGAATGACCAAATTGATCTTAAATCCTTAAAAACGATGAAACATCGCTTTCATAAGGGACCTTAAGATCCGACGACGGCAACGTCAGGAACGCCACAACTGAAAGCCATAGGTTTAATACTTGTACTTTCAGTTTTGAGAGCTAGAGCAACCTAAACATGTTGTACAGAGGAAGTACACAAGCGACGACGAGATTTCCTCTCTCTTTCTGCACTTGGATATGGTTCTTAGGAATTCAACTTTAGGAGGTATTCTGCAAAAAATCTCTGTGGGTCAGTTACGCCATTAGAGGTGCACCCCCTCCTATGAAAAATCCTGGATCCGCCCCTGTGAGGTGATATCAAACACGGCGAGGCTATAGCGTGACCCGGATAGCATCGAGTGACTACAGATATCATGTGACTTGGATAACGAATTTGACCCCAAAACACGATTAAGTTTTTCTCCTCCTTGGCTGGGAGAAAAACTGAAAATGGAGTTTGTTCACATGATCGCCTATTGCCTTGCTTTGCTGGTGACTCACAGTAAGTTTTGATGAATGTTAGATGCAGGGTAGCTGGATTAGTTGATAAATTAAGTAACCAGTACTGAAACCCTTATAGGTATTTAATTTTCAAATCGTATTTTGTTACTACTTGTTATCACAATGAAATTAATAGGACATTTTGGTAGTCAAAATGCTTTAACTATTGTTCATAACCAGAAACTCATAAGGGGTTTCTCACTTGAAAGACTAACCTTAATATCGCAAGTCATCCCAAACAGTGAGAGACATGATATGACTTGTATAATACTAATTGTTTTGTCTCAGGGGTCACGTCGATCATATCTTTTGACGGTACTGCCACAATCATTTTGAAACATGAAATCCCGGAGTTTGCTTCTGGACTAATAAAACTCCAGTTTTGTTTAAGTCATATTTGCAATTTTCTTTTCATGAACCCAGAGGCGCTTCTTATCGGTCACTAGCTTTAGGCAGAGAGAGGGCGGGGCGGCAGGATTATGGTTACAAGGGGTTTGTAAAACCTCTTGTTGAGCAAGATCAGTGAGGTTCTTTAAAGCCACCTACTTGAAGTGCCCCCCGGTAGGTCAATCTCGCTCCCGTATAAAACAGTACTTGAGAAATAGCTGCTTCTTTATCAGTTATTATTATCATTATTATTATTATTATTATTATTATTATTACTATTATTATGACATTGGCATTGACAAAAAGCAGCAACGTTATATAATCAAGAAAATGATAAATATAGCCATTAGAGCAACATATTACATCTTTTGTTGTAGAAACAGGAACTGGGATAGCCCAGACTTAATGCAATTTTGATTTTTTTTTTTTTTGGCTTTTTAATGTATTTTCTTATCTGGCTCTACTTTGTAGTTGGCGCACCGTATAAGTGAATTCTCCCAAAAAAGAATTCTGAGCGGGATGTACAGCATTATGGTAGCAAAGGGGCTGGCTTCTAAATATTTGAAGCGAGATCAGCACCTCAAAGAAAAGAATATAAAGTCACCAATTGTTTTGATTTTGTTTTAGGATTTTGCTTCGCCTCAAAAATCTGGTACGTTTCTAGAACACAAGGAAGCCGAACAAAAGATTGTAATTCTCCTGAGAATTCTTGTAAATCCTTAGCAGATGTGTTTTCTCTGGTGGACTGGGGCGACACTATATACCTTGACG